CTTGGCCTAAGTTTCCCTCTAGACAGAGCAAAGAATGTAGTGAAAATCTGATCAATGCCTTTATATTGAGTTCCTCTCTTGTGCTAGGCACTGTGGTCAGACATGGGCACCAAAGTTACAAATACCTGCTCTCAAGTGAAATCAGCATTTTGAAGAGATACCTAACTACCATGTTCATTGCAACATTATTCACAATAGGCAAGATAATGAAACAACCTAAGTATCTGTTGATAGATGAATAAAGAAAATCTCTCTCTGTCTCTTACACACACACACACACCCCACTGGAATATTACTCAGGCTAAAGCAGGAAATCTTGACATTTGTGACAACGTGGATGAACCTGGAGGACATTATGGTAAGTGAAATAAACTAGACAGAGAAAGATGAATACTGCATGACCTCACTTCCATGTGGAATCTAAAAAAGTTGAACCATAAAAACAGACAACAGAATGGTAGATGGTAGGGGCTGGGGGTGGGGGAAATTGGGAGCTGTTGGTCAAAAGGCACAAAGATGCAGTTATGCAAGGTGAGTACATCCTGGAGATCTAATGTACATCATGGTAACTATAATTAATGATACTGTATTTTACACTTGAAATTTGCTAAGAAAGTTGATCTTCAGTGTTTTCACCACACCAAAATAAATTGTAATTATGCGAGCAATGGATATGTTAATTACCTTGATTGTGGTAATCATTTCAAGATGTACATGTATATCAAAACATCACATTGTACACATTAAATACATACATTTTTTATTTGTAAATTTTAAAAAATACCTGTTTTCCTCTCTGTAAGTAAAGGGTCTAGAAAGGAAAGAAGACACATAATCAGACAATGTCAGTATCTTATGCTTAGTATAGTAATTAAGGTAAGCACAGGTGCTATGAGGGCACAGAGGAGGACACCCACACTAACCTACAGGTCTCAGGAGTTTTCTTGGAGTAACTACAGATAACAGCAGTGCCTGGCCTGTTGAAATCACTCAATAAAGGTTAGATATCATTATTATGGCAATAAGCATTATCTGTGCCCTCAAGGACCTCACAGTCCAGTAAGGGAGAAAGTACAAATACATAACTATAATAATATCCAATTCATGCTAAATGATCTGTTGGAGAAGACAGAAATGGATAATAGCTCACATTTAATGAATGCTGCCTATGTGCCAAGCACTGTTCTAACATTACACATACACACACATATGTATATATATTCTTCATTTAGTTCCCACAACAACCTTATGTTTAATTACATTTCCCCTAATTAGAGGTGAGGACATTGAGGTACAGAGAAATAAAGTGACTTGCCTAAGGCCAAGTTAGTTACAACTAATAAATGGTGTTAGGTAGTCATATATGAGAAAAAGAAAAAAAGCCATCCCTGACATCTGGAAGCTGGCTTGGCACTCACAGGTAGGCCATGTTGTTTGCCTGTTGGACATAAAAAATCTCAGAAAATACTGACACCAGACAAGGTTACTCTGATAACATGATAAAGTGAGACAAAACAATGCTACTTCATAATTTAGTCTAAGCATAGACAAAAATAAAGTTACTGTGCCACCCACAAAAGCTTTATGCCCACTTCAGTCTACACCCATAAATACAATTTATTAAGATGCTCAATTATAGAATTGTCCTTGCTGTCTGACAGCACTCTACAGAATGAATCCCAACTTTCTTAGACTCTCCCCCAGTCACCCAGCCAAAGCCAAAATCCCGTAATAAGTTTTTTTAAAAGATTTTACTTATTTATTTTTAGACAGAGGGGGAAGGGAGGGAGAAAGAGAGGGAGAGAAACATCAGTGTGTGGTTGCCTGTCATGTGCCCCCTACTGGGGATGTGGCCCACAACGTAGGCATGTGCCCTGACTGGGAATTGAACCGGGGACCCTTTGGTTCACAGGCCAGCACTCAGTCCATTGAGCCACACCAGTCAAGGCATTCTTTCTACCACCCTTTGACTAAGACATCTCGTGTTTCCCTATTGTATTACTCTGCTAAGGCTAACATTAAAAAATATCACTGACCGACTGCTTTCAACAATATAAATTCATTTTTTCACAGTTCTGGAGGCTAGAAGTCTAAGATCATGTTGCTAGCACATTTGGTTTCTCCTGAGAATTTTCTCCTTAGCTTGCAGATGGCTGCCTTCTCAGTGTCCATGTGCCCCTGGTGTTTCTTTATGTGTCCAAATTTTCTCCTCTTATAAGGACACAGTCAGATTGAATTTGGACCCACCCCAACCACCTCATTTCAACTAAATCATCTCTTTAAAGGCTCTTTCTCCAAATATAGTCACATTCTGAGGTATTGGTGGTAAGGCTTTTAGATATAAATTTGGGAGGGGACACAGTTCAGCCCATTACATCTACGGTGTACATTCTCTGTAACTGTAATAAGTAATAAACTCAACTTGTTCAACTACTGGTGCGTTCCTGGTAGTCTTTGGGTGAAGGGAACTGATGCAAATTACAACTGGTAACTAACAAGCAGGTAACTTTAAAAGGGAAGAATAGCATACGTGGTTCATACAGGTGAAAACAATGTGCTTTGAGAAAAGTGGCCATTAAGATCCAGCCAGTAGGTGGGCGGCATTTCAATGTTTAACCTTGTTTTTGAGGACTCAGGCCAAATATTATTTTTCTTCATATTTACCTCAGTACCTGAGAGATACAAATGTATGTGCACAGTGCCTGACAGATGCGAGACAAAGAAGCTATTGTTTCTAGTCTCAACATATGTACATCTAATTTCTTTGTAGCTCAATTTTCTCACCTGTAAAATGGGAGCAATAAAATTGTGTTTATTTTGATGATTAAATAAAATAATTCATGTATGGGGAGAATGGGAAGGGTTTACAGGAACAAATATAAAGGACACATGGACAAAAACTGGGGGGTGGAAGTGGGAGGGAGGTGGGGAGGGATGGGTGGGTGGGCTGGGGTGGGAGTAAAGGACAGAAAACTGTACTTGAACAATGATGAAAATAAAATTAAAAAAAATAATTCATGTAAATTGCTTAGCACAATGTCTGGCACATAGTAAGATCTTATCAACTGTCAATGATTTAAGGATGAATTTTATTTATGGATGAGTTTCATAGATCTAAAGTGAGAGGGTGAAAGGACAACCATGTTCCAAGCAGGTGGAATGGCAGAAACCAAGGCACATAGATGAGGAATTAATTGTAAAGGTGCCCCTTGTTCAGACACGTTATGGCTCAGTGATGAAAGACCCATGGAGAGTGCCTCAAACTTGGTTAGACATCCCAAACCTTGTTGGCAACGGGATATCTAGAACACTTGTCTCTTCTACTGTGCCAGGGAAAAGGAAATAGCCCCATCCCCTACCAACCTGTGCTATTTCTGGGAAGGGGTTTTGTGACAGGCCATAGAGCCTCTGTTGATGGTGAAAAGTTGCACACATCAGGTCTCAAAGCCTAAGCGCTGGCAGCAAAATGGGCCTGCAGCTGTAGCAGCAGAGAAACCCGACTGAAGAAACTGTGCTTTGGCTATGGCTTGCTGGAGCAAGTGCACACAAAGTGCTTAGTTTGACTCCTCTCACTCTGGCACCAACATTTCTATCTCTCCCCCTGGCTCCTAGTGGTGGGGGTTCAGGGACCCAGGCCCCAACCTTACACTCAGGGCTCCAGGAGTGCCAAGTGGTCCCTTCTGAGTTAATCTCGACCCCCTTGCTCTTTCCTGTTGAGTTACCAGGAATTCTGAAGGCACATGACCACCTCAGGGGTTTCCCGATGACAGCAGTTGAGCAGATCCCATTTCCTTCCTGGCACATTTCGGGTTCCCTTTTTCTCTCCTTCTTCATTCCAAAAAACACCTCTGTCCAATTCTTTGGGAAATGGCTCTTCATTCAACCCTTCCAACACGACCCACCCTTCTGGAGGCCTAGGCTCTGAAGTTACGGGTAGGCAGAGGTTGAATGATTAGATGTTTGGTGAAAGAAGCCATTGAGATGCTCTTTCCCAAACTTCAGAGCGCCCCTCTCTGTACACATAACCACCCTGAGAGACGTGGGAGAGTGCTCTCCGCCTGCTTGTCTGCCGGGGAAATAACGCTTCACTGGCGCGGTGGACAGGGCTAGCTGCAAGAATGAGTGGGGGGTGGGGTAGGGGTGGGAAAGGGGGTGCGCGCCCTTTATGACAGGTGGCTGCGCAGTGCGCGCTCCCGGGAGTCTGAGGGGAGGGAGGGACAGACGGACAGAGTGGGAGGGGGGGACATAGGGAAGAGGCCTTAGAAAGGGTAGAGAAAACGGGAGGGAAAGGAAGGGCAGTGGCGAGGAAGGGAGGTAAAGGGGGAACGAGTCCAGCAAGAACAGCCAGATTGGAGGAAACAATGGCAGGGGCAATAGCGATGGTGGCAGCCGAGGCAGTTCCACTCTGGGCACCTTTCTGAATGGGCAGTGGCAGCTCTGGGAGAAGAGGAGACCAGGCAGCGCCCGCGGAGGCTGTGAGAAAAGCGGCGGAAGGAGGAGGAGGGGGAGGAGGAGGAAGAAGAGGAGGAGGAGGAAGAGGAGGAGGAGAAAGAGGAGGAGGAGGAGGGGGACGAGGCAGAGGGAGAACCCGGGAAGGAAAACCAGTAGCAGCAGCCGCAGCAGCAGCAGCAGCCGTCGCCGCCACCACAGCACTAGCAGTAGCGACAGTAGCAGCATTTAGCCGTAGCTTTAACGGGGTAGTGACAGTGGCAGCTTCCCTCCTTCTCTCTCCCTCCCGCCGAAAGCCACAGTACCGCACTGAGCGGGCTCCAGCGCCTTGCGCGCAGCCGTCTCTCGAGGTAGCCACGGCCCGAGCTAGAGCTGGTGCGGGCCAAGCGCGGACCCCCGGCGCAGCTGGCAGCCACTGAGGCACTGAGCTCCAGGGCCAAAGCCCAACAGCTCTGACAGCATCTAGCAAGGCGGCGGCGGCGCCTGAGGGAGAGAGGCGCGTCCACCTGGCGGGCCTGGCGCATGGAGCTCAGGCAGAGGTGGCGGCAGCGGCAGCAGTAGCAGCGGCGGCGGCTAGAGACACGGCGGTGGTGGCGGGAGCCCAGCTTTAACTGTGGCCGCGCTCACTCCAGCGCCCGCTGCCTGAGCCCGCCCGCGACGTGCACACAGGAGTCGGCCTGCGAGGTGAGTACGGGCGCTGCCACGCAGCCCCCTGGCCTCCTCGCCGGCTCCCGCAGCTGACTCCGGGTGGCGGCGGCAGCGGGTGGGAAGGATTGGGGGAGGCCGAGACAGAAGAGGAGGAAGGGCAGACGCAAGGGAGGGTGTTGGTGTGAGAATGGCGAGCGTGTGTGTGTCTGTGTACTAGGTAGCAAGGCCGCGGGGGCGCGCGGTCCCGACTCGCCCTGACAGGCACTGCAATCTAGGAAAGGCCTCTCTCTCTCTCTGCTGGCGCCGGGGGGAGGGGAAGCAGGCGGCTGGAGCTTCCGCGCTCACACGCACAGGGCCAGGCAGCGGGCACCAGCCAAGTGTTGCCTCCTTTCAGGCTGCTGCCCAGGAGACCGTGGCCAGGGAATGGGCATGAACACCGAACGCTTCGGCGTGAGCGGGAAAACCCACGCGGCAGCACGATCCGGGGCCCGGGCCAAAGCGGCAAAGGTGCGAAGCGCTGCGGCCCGCACCTCTTGAGCCTCCCGCGCGCGCCGCGCTGCCCTGCGGACCACAGAGCGCCTCTGAGCACGCGCCACTCGACTGGGGCTGCGGGCGGGTCTCGACGGGGGGCTCTATGGAGCCTCACTCAGCTTGTCACCGTTGCGGGCATTGCCCCGAGGCCCCTTCCCTCTCAGATGGCAGTCGAATTGCCGCGCTCCTGCGTGGCTTCTGGAGCTGCGCTCTGCCATGCCATGCCCCGCCACACACATCCGCTGGAGTCTGGCACACCGGCTGGGGTGGGGAGGCCGTGAGCCCGCGCCGGGAGGGGGGCCCGGCTCTGGGAAAGTGTGGAAAACGCGCCGCTGAGTTGGCGCCGTTCTGCTGAGGAATCCAGTGGTTTCAGCTTGACTGCTTCTGTCGGTCGGATTCGTGAGAGATTGAATCACCGGCGCAAGGTTTTCTGTCTTCTTCAAAGTTAAAAAAAAAAAAAATGGCATCCCCATTTTGACACTTGAATTTTGTCGAGTTTCTGGTTGCAGTTTGGAATGAGTGGGTTTCATATTTTGCATCTACGTTTTGGCTCCCAGCATATTGTTGAATTCTGTGCAGTATACTTAGCGATGTGGTCTTTTCCTAACATTCCATTTTCTAGATTGTTATCTGAAAAGACATGATTTGTGTGTACGGCTGCCTAGGGTGTTTTAAAAAGCATCTAAAGCACTTTAACCCAGGATTTGAATATCTCTTCAGTTGTTGGTGAAGCAGAGTGTGCTGATAATCCTGTAATATTTGTCTTGGTGAGAAAGGTGCTCCAACGGTTTTCCCTGAACTGTAGAGACAGATCATTTGAGTTTCCAGGGATAACTCTCCCTTACATCTTTTATACATACGGCAACATATGACCAAACGTTTTATTTACAGCAATGACGCTGTCATGGCTGAGGAGAATTTACACTTACTTAAAAATATTTTTAGAAGGGAACAAAAAAGCCCTAAGTAACTGTCATTTTACATATTAACTGGGAACCCTGCTAATCAAATAAAACTGGCTGAGTGTCTGAAACTCTATCCCAGTGAAGTATGTGGCTGTGAATATAATTAACCATCTGTCTAGTGAACAATTTAAATTTGGGCTGGTACATTTTTATTACAGGGTCTAATTTCTGGAAGACTTGAACATTTTACCAAGCAGTAACAACAAAAACATATTTGCTTACTAGGTCAAAGATTTGTTTGTGTGGTAGTGGGATTTCCCTTTCTCTCCCCTCACCTCATCTTTCCTAGTCCCCACACTCCTTGACCTAGGAGGTTAAAATGAACCTCTTGCTTTTGCAAATGGCATATTTACAATACAGAAATTCAAAGCCAGGGCAGCTAGTGATTAGACATTTCTGTTACTTGGAAATACTTTTCAATATTTTACCTCTCACAGAACCTGTATAGGTTGCATTTCAGTTGAAAAAATACAATTTTTATGGACATGTGTACACATGGAATAAGGTTATTCAACAAATTTAAACTTAAAATTTAACTCCATTTCCTTTTTCTTATTCTATTTTTAATTTTATTTAAATTGTTGTTGCAGTACAATTTTCTATCTTTTACTCCCATCCCAACCCACCCACCCAACCCTCCCCTCCCCTCCTTCCTTTTTCTTATTCTAATTACCCACTTTGCTTTCCCCAACTGTCCTAACCATCCTTTCACCGCCCCCCCACAAAATCATATCCTTTTATTATTATAACCAATTTTTTAGGTTAACAGTATTCACATTTGTGATTTTAACAGTATGTTGACAAAACTGCTTTTCTTTGTAAATCGAAAGTGTAAAATACCATAACATGAAAGGACATTGTCCATATTAAAAATGTTTCCCTCTCATGTGATTTTAACCAAAAATTTATTATTAGGAAAAAAATAGATTTTGGGTGGAGATTAAATGGCCCTGGAAAGATTAGATTTCTGAGACTCTACTAAATAATTGTTGCTATAACATAACATAACATAACATAACATAACATACCTAAAATTAACCACAGATTGATTGTGCAGTATTTTCCTTTAAATGACTAACACTTTAAAACAAATTTTTGGCTAAATAACAGCTCTGATAAATGGGTAACAATTATTGTGAGAACCTGGTAAAATTTGATGTGTCAAGTTTGTTAAATAAATCAACCTGTTCAGTGAATAAATCTTCAATGCATCAACGCTTTTTAAAACACACACAGACACACACACAAGCAAATATATAACGTCCTGTTGTCAAAGTCAAACAAGTACAGAACAGTGCTACTTTCTCTCTATTTTACCCAGTCCTCTCTTTTTCTTTTTTCTACAATCTTCTAGTTACCTGTAAACTCCCCAGAGCAGAGAGAACTAAAGATGTGGTAATGTTGCCTATGTTTAGGAGGTGGGAGAAGAGAGATAAGAAAAGTGATAAGTGCTGGATTTTAAACATTCAAAGATATGCTCCTGGATTTCTGACAATCACTGTGGAGGTCCTCATCTTATGGAAGTCTTTGCTTTGGAGATGGACTGGCTTTACCAAAGAAGCATTAATTGCAGTTGCTCTGTTCGTAAGCCTGGTTCTACTGAATACTTTTTTTCTCTCCAAATCCCTTAGTAAGGGGAATAAAAGGAGATTCTAGTTGGCCTTTTACCCTGTCACATTATCTTTACATGTATTTATCTGCTGGCACATACACGGTTTAAATGTTCTGCACTGAAGTAAGCAAAAAAAAAAAAAAAAAAAGTAAAGGACCAAAGTAGATGATAGGGAAGAGAAATGATACACTAGGAGTAGGTCATCTTGTTTCACTGCTTAACCACGTTTGGTTTGATGGGGAAAGCGGGTTTGGACATTTTAATTATTTCTTTATTTCCCCTTTTTTACCTCCTCCAAAAATTTTCCCGTCAACTCCCTAATTGACAATTTCTCCACCTTTTCGAAACCAGGGTCACAGAGTTAGGCGTAAAGGACTTGTTGGGCTCTCCATGCCACTTCTCCAGGGCTCCTTACAAACAAAACAAATGGCACTGGACAAGACTGCACCCAAGGGGCTATCTTTAATTTAAGAATTTTCTGTCATGCAGAAAATTCTGTTTTAGACAGAGATGAACATTCCTCTCCTCTCAAACAACACTGGCTTTGTGCAATATTAAGCACATCACAACCATGCAGAAATCTTGTCTGGGGTGGGGTCAGTCAGTGCAGGGTAGGGGAAAGATGCCTTTTAGTGATGGTAGGGCCTTTTCTGGACCAGCTACAGGTAAGGGGTGAAGAACCTCTAGTCTCTCTGCCCCTGGGTCACACATTGACCACAGTGATTTGAAGGCCTCTGATTGGGAATGTGCTCTTTTTTATCTTTTTTTTCCTGTGGATAAGCAGTGTGACCTGATGTCTTTCTCTGCCTTGTTCTCTGGTGGGAAAAAGGACTGAGGTCTTCAGAACCAACTATTAAGCACTTAATTTTTTTATTTTTCTAAAAGGCACTTTAATAGAGCATCTTATACTTCTCGGTAAGATGATTTTGATATAAACAATTATCTACTATTTTTCTCAAACACCTCCAAACCCCATTTAAAAAGTTACACCTCTCCCCCTCAGTAGCCCATCAGTATTACAAAACTAACTTAACCAAGACAGTGCTTCTAATATATAACTTGAGGGAGGTTAGAGGTTAGCGACCAAAACTGTACTGTGGGCCTGACAGCTTGACTAGCAGTCCTCCATCCAGAACATGCATTGATTTTCATTTTGTTTGTGGGAAATTAAAGCATTTTCTCTATCGATAACTATAAATAGTGTGGCCATATGTTGTGGCTTATACCTGTTGTCCCAGAATATTTATTTTACCCTTAAAAGTGTACCAGTTTGGGTCCAGGCTGGGTAGCTCAGTTGGTTAGAGCATTGTCCCAGTATGGCAAGGTTGAAGTTGGACCTCCAGTCAGGGCTCATACAAGAATCCACAAATGAATGTGTAAATAAATGTAGCAACAAATTGATATTTTCCTCTCTCCCTCTCTATCCCCCCTTCTCTCCCTCTAAAAATCAATTAAAAAAAACTTGGTTGGGGAGGGATAATGAACTATCAAGGTTTCTAGTCCCTTAACTGGCTCAGCTTATCCTTTTCCTAGCTAAAAAGTCTTTCTGGAGGATAAGAACCCCCCTCCCCCCCGACAAATGATTCAGGCTTTGGGTTTGGCAGAATTGGACACCCCTCCAAAATAAATGCGTATGTGTGCATGTGTGCACAAACTCACAAACACATACACAAAGAGGTACTATCTGCATGCTGGAGAGTGGCTGCTCTTACTTTCATGAACGACTGGTGATAGGTAATAAGCCTAAAGCAAATCAGGAGGTACTTAGGCTTAGAACGATCATCCTGACAATGGTAGTTGTAAAACAATAAGGTGGTACCAACGGGAGTGCGAATTCCTTTTAGGATATGTTTTAAGAAGTGCACAGGTGCCCTGGCTGGTATGGCTCAATGGATTGAGCTCTGGCCTGTGACCCAAAGGGTTGCTGGTTCGATTCCCAATCAGGGCACATGCCTGGGTTGTGGTCCAGGTGCCCAGTAGGGAGCATGCAAAAGGCAACCAATTGCACATCGATGTTTCTCTTCCTCTCTTTCTCCCTCCCTTGCCATCTCTCTAAAAATAAATAAAATACACAGTTAACTCTCTGTCCAGAATAATTTGCATGCGTTCTTGCCATATATATACAATATATATGTATAACACACACACACACACACACACACACATATATATATATAATACAAATAACATATATATGCCAAATAACATTTATTTCCACTGGCCTTTTCTGTAATGGACAAGATAATCTTTTAAACTGTCTTCCAGTCCTAAGTATCTGTGATTAGCTTTCATTGATCTAGGGCAGAAGTCAAAAGAAACTATGGTCCATAGGCCAAATGTGCCTGCTATGGTAAAAGACATCATGTGGACAAGAAAAAAAAATGTCGAGTCCATATGGAGTTGCTTTTGAAAATGTTTTCAATCTTCCCCTTTGTAATTGAGCTTTACTTAGGCCAATGCTAAGATGAGTCCACACTTTGTGAGCACATATTTATCAGCTGATATCTAGGGTTTGAGAGATTGCCCAGAACCTGGCAAAGTGGCAGGGGATGACCCAAAAAGTGAAATCTATGTGTGAATTTGTTTGTTTGAGTCAAAATGTCAATAGTGATCTTTTCTTTCCCATGTAACCGAAATTTTGTGGTGCTGCTACATTTTTTCTGTCTTCCTCTCCAATATTTGCCATGTTATTCCAGGCATTCATGATTTATTAACCCAGAGACCAGTTTTTGCCACTTGCTTGAACAGAGACCTCCTGTCTCTTTAGTTACTGAATAACTGCAACACATTCTGAAAGTGTGTGTTACTGAGTAGGAAAATAGATAAAGTGAGCCATCACCATGTAGTTTAGTGGTCCCTAACATTTTTTAGAGGGGCATGAACTTTTGTGAAAATTCAATGAATGCCAAGAATACTCTCTTCAGAAAAGTGCACATTTACATATATGACACTTGCATATATTTTCAGGAAATTCAACCATGCATTGTGAGTTAAAAACTCCTGCAATAGCCTTTGCCTAGTTGTTATAAGAATTACTATTGCATGGCTGTCATGGTCATAGTATCCTGAAATGGAAGCCATGAAAATGACCCTCTCAAAAAAAATCCTGTTATTAGTGTACTTATGGGCTATAGCCCTCAGCTACTGTTGTGAGCATTTTTCTGCTTGGCCTTCACAGGCATTTTTTATTATGAAAAAGAGTCACTTAGTACTCACTTTGATATTGCTATTGTCACCAAGAAAAAGTCAAGGCTAGTTTCCCCAAATCCTTGACTTGTCAACTTTCAGATATCTACAAAGTTCTGTTTAACACTCGCCCTATACAAGTTCATTATTAATATATAAAATAGATCCCATAAAAGCTCACTTGTGCTCACCCACCCCCATCTCTTGCTCTCTTTCATCTATTTCCCTATCTTTGTGTATTTCTCTTAGTCAATGATCTTGACAAAAATTGGGAATTCTTGCCAGCACTGATTGTTAGGTATGGTGATGGAGTCATGTAGGGAGGTGGTGTCCAGTCATTTTCATGAGGACCCTTGGGACTCATGGGCCTTTTGGAATATCAGCCATCATGGAAATCTAGCATCATATATTAAAGGCAAATTTCCTTAAGCTCTGCAAACACGAACATATGCCATATCTATGCTTTGCAGTTGGGGAGGTAGAAATAGGTGATGTTGCTACCCATAAATAAATGTTTATTTCCTGTCTCTTTGTTTTTTGTCTTAGCAGTTTGGAGTATGGCACAGTATGAAGTCTAATAGAATCCTGATTCTGGGAGGGTCTATTAATGATAACTTCTCATTCAATTCAGTAAACATTTATTGAGCATCTATTATGTGATAAACACTGGGATAGTGGAGACAGAAAAAATAATAAAACATATTCTCCTCTCATACGAAATTAGCTTTGTTCCTGGCTGGGCCTTTTTAACTTCTGTACTAATTTACCCCACTATTTTTCTAATTCAATGCATTTTCTATTATTTCTATATTCTCCTTCTTAGAAACTAAGTATAGATGCCTTGCTTTCCTAACACAGCAGGGAATTCCTTGGCAAACAGGTATTTCTAGCTAAGTTGAGACATTTCCAGCCTCCATGGCACAAATGTTTCTATTCTTATTTCTTCATTGGCTTAGCAGGTCCCATTTAATAAAGAGTGATATATTTCTTTTTTGGCAATTTTGAGGCAAGATTTCTATCATTGGCAATGTGGAACTGCAAATAGAATTAGCCATGCTGTATTGACCATTGACTTAAGATTATATAGTACAGAGTATTGACTTCTGACAAATGAATTGAATGTACTCTGCAAAAAGCTAGTTGTCCATCTTTGAATAGGTTAGTTTTTAACCCCTGGCTGGTGGTTATATTCATTTTCTATTGCTGATGTAACAAATTATTAAAAGCTTAGTGGTTTAAAAGAACATAAATTGATTATTCTACAATTCCAGAGGTTAGGAATCTGAAATAGATCTCACTGCATTAAAATCAAGGTGTGAGCAGGGCTGAATTCCTTTGTGGAAGCTCTAGGAGAGATTACATTTCCTTGCCTTTTACAGCTTCTAGAGTCTGCCTGCATTTTTTGGCCCATGGCCTCCTTTCATTCTCAAAGTCAGCAGTGGGGGATTGATTCCTTATATTGCATCATTTCAATCTTGCTTGCATTTTCACATCTCCTTTTCTTAAACTGTTCATTCTTCTGCTATCTTTTTTCACTTTTTAAAACACTCTTGTGATTACATTGCATCTGTCTGGATGAATAATACAGGATAATCTCCCCATCTCAAGGTTAGTTTATTTGCAAACTTAATTCCATCTGTAATCTTAGTTCCCTGTGGGCCATACAACCTAACACATTCACAAGTTCTAGGAGTAGGTCATGAACTACTTTGTAGGGTCATTACTCTATCTGCTTCAGTGACTTGATCTTTTTTTCACAGTCGATACTATTACAGATGTCCCCCATTTCCTCCCCATGTTTGAACAGTGACTGATTTTAAAAATTTTAAAATCATTATAGATTGATAGGAAGTTGAAAAGATGGAGAGGTTCTATGTACCCTTCACCCAGTTCCCCAAATGGTTACATCTTACATAACTATAGCATAAGATCAAAACCATAAATTTGGCATTGGAACAATGGATGTGATTAGTTCTATGCCATTTTATTACACAAGTAGATTTATGTAACTACTACCACAAAGATAAAGTACTATTTCATCACCACAACCATATCTCTTGTGCCAGCCCTTTATTGTCCTTGTAGTCACACTTATCCCCCTCACCCTCCCAATCTCTAACCCCTGGCCATCACTAATCTTTTTTCTAAATGTATAAAGTTTTGTCACTTCAAAAATGATATATAAATGGAGTCATAGAGTATGTGACCTTTTAGGGTTGAACTTTTTTTCACTCAGCATAAAGCCCTTGAGATCCATCCGAGTTCTGTGTATAGACAATGCATTGTTTTTTACTGTTGAACAGTATTTCATGGTGTGAATCTATCACACTTTGTTTAACCATTTACCTGTTGAGGACATTTTGGTGGTCTCCAGTTTTTGGCTATTATGAATAAAACTGTACAGATTAGTGTGCTAGTGTTTAGATGAACATAGTTTTCATTTATCTGGGGGAAAATGTCTGGGAACATGATCACTGGGTCACGTATTAAGTGTATATTTAGTTCTTTAAGAAGCTTTAAAACTGTTTTCCAGAGTGACTGTGCATAACTTATCACAGTCTACTAATATCAACATTTTACCTATATGAATAATCCTTGCTGCTTTTAAGCCTTTTTATCCTTCCTCATTCATGACATCACTGTCCTAAAAATTTCCTCTACATAGTATATTTAGGGCTATATCAGACAATGTTATAAATTTTACTTCAACTGTCAAATGTAATTGTGAAAACTCAACAGGAGCAAAAAAAATCAAAGGCGTTTACTCTTACTCTTTCTGTTCTTCTTCCTTCCTGATATTCCAAAATCCCTTCATGCAAGGTCTGTCCAAAAAATTTCCAGCCACTGTTAATATAACGAGAATGGTTTGTGTGACATCGATGTAACCTGGCAGCCAAGGAGAGTGGACTAGAATGCACATGCGTGAACAATGACAACTTCACTGTACTCATCAGTGGGGGTGGTAGACGCCATTGAGTGAGTATGTGTACTGTGTAGCTGTCTCATTCAAAATGACTGAGTGAGTAGAGTAACGAATCTGCACCAAGTCTTGCATGAAGTTTGAACATTCCTCCATGGAAACTATTCAGATGATTCTGAAGGCTGCAGCTATGAGCAGTTGCTCATAGCTGATTGGCAGCGTCATCATGACAACACACCTGCTCACGCATCACAATGCAGAGATTTTGGCGAAACATCAAATCACCCAGGTGACCCAGCCTCCCTGTAGTCCAGATTTGGCACCCTGTGACTTCTGGCTTTTCCCAAAACTAAAATCACCTTTGAAAGGGAAGAAATTTCAGACTGTCAATGAGATTCAAGAAAATGCGATGAGGCAGCTGATGGTGATTGGGAGAACTGTGTGAGGTCCCAAGGTGCCTACTTTGAAGGGGACTGAGACATCATTGTTTTATGTACAATGTTTCTTGTGTCTTATATCTTCTTCAATAAATGTCTCTATTTTTTATAGTGCATGGCTGGATGCTTTCTGGACAGGCTGTATATACAGAGTCTGGCTGAAGTAACGCCTGCATGAGTGTGATTGGTAAGGTAATGATATGAGTGTAATAATTTATAGTTTTAATTTGAGCATTTCACCTAAAATGTCATATGGTGTGCTTGAGTGTGATACCATTGTTACATAATTACATGTTTATGATTCTGTAATAAAATATTTTTTAATTAAAAAGGGATGTTATTTGTACTGGAATATATATTCCTTTAGTCATTCTTTTAATGCAGGTTTGTTGGCAACAAATTCTCTTAGTTTTCCTTTATCTGAGTATTTCTTGATTTCCTCTTCATTCCTGAAGGATATTTTCAATGGATATAGGATTCTGAGTTGATAGTTCTTTTCTTTCAGCACTTGAAAAAGGTATTATTTTCTTCTGACCTCCATGGGTTTTGATGAGAAATGTACTGTCATTTGAATTGTTTTTTCCCCCTTGTAGGTAAGGCATCATTTTTTTTTCTTGTTTTTAAGATCTTTCTTTTTTAACATCTTTAGTTTTCAGAAGTTTAGCTATCATTTACCTTTGCATTGATTTCTTTGGGTTCATTCAATTTGGAATAGGCTCAGCTTCTTGAATCTGTAGACTTATGTATTTTACCAATTTTGGGGAGATTTCAGCCATTATTTCCTTGAATATGTTTTCTATAAAGCCTTCTTATACTATTGTGTCAGGCCTGATGACAGGAAAGTTAGATATTTTTTTATAGTCCCACAGGTCCCTGAGGCTGTTCATTTTTTCACTTTATTTTCTCTGTTGTTTATATTGGATAATTTTTATTCTTCCATTTTCAAGTTTCTTGATTCTTTCCTCAGTCCTCTCCATTCTGCTGTAGAGCCCATCTGCTAATTTATTTTATGTTTTAAAAGATGGTGCTTTATTACTTTATCAGCATGCTTGGCACATCCCACTTAGATGTCATCTCAAAGTCAACATCTCCCAGACCCAACACACCATCTCTGATCCCACCTCTGCACTTTGTGACATGAGCAGCAGCCCACCTTATCCCACAGTTGTCACATCTCCTGTCAGTTTCACTTTGCCCATGTCTTGTATTGCCACCTTCACCCCTGCCCTACACCAAGCTCTTGCCCTTTCTCACCTGGACCACTGTACTACCCTCCTCACCAGCTTGCTGTGGACATGTTGATTTTTTTTTAAAAATTCAGTTATTTTATTTTTCATTTCTAAAATTTCCACTTGGTTCTTCCATGTATCTTCTATTTTTTTCTTGAGTCTTTCTATTTCTTGTTTGTTTCAAGAGAGTTTGTAATTGCTTATTGAAGTATTTTTATTATGGCTGCTTTAAAATCTTTGTCAGATAATTCTAACATCTCTGTCATCTTGGCTTTGGCATCTCTTGATTGCCTTTTTTCATTCAGCTGGAGATCTTTCTCATTCTTGGTATGATGAGTGATTTTTTTGACAGAAACCTGGATATTTTTATAGTATGTTATGAGACTCTGGGTCTTATTTAAACCTTCTGTCTTAGCTAACTTTCTCTGATCCTGCTCCAGCAGTGGAAGGCAGTGTGCCACCTTGTTACTTTCAGGTAGATGTAGAAGTCTAGGCTCCCCATTCAGCCTCTGTTGACACTTGGAGGGCAGGGCTTCTCATTACTGCTGGGTGAGGGGTTGAAATTCAGTCACATTTTGGTGTTTGGTAACCATCTTTGGTTAGTGGCTGCCATATTGTATGACATATATCCAGAACTTTTTATCACTATTCTGGGAAGGCTAGGGGTTCAGAAGGGGGCCTGATCCTATAAGAATTGAAATTAGATACTATGGCCCGGGTAGAATAAGGCAAGGGCCTACTTATTGAATTTGAGGCCTATGGCTGGGGTTTAGTTCCAAAACCTGAGGTACTATGAGTACTATGGAGATTTGAGCGCAGGGAAGTCAGCTGGACAGTATGGAACCAGTAGAGTTGGTAGAAACTATAGCTACCATACTATTAACTAAGTTTTCCTTCTGAACCCTTGTAACAGAGATGGAGTAACATGCTGCAGATTCTTGTACCACTCCATTTTGTTAAAATGAAAGCCTCCTCTACTGGGGAGAAGGTAATTGGTTTATTCAGAGCAACAAACTCCCTCTCTGTGACCAAAGTAATTATTGATTGAGGAAATATTAACAAAAAAGAGTAGGTTATGAAAGGGATGTTCATTCAGTTTATAGAATCTGGGGTTTATTTGGCATCTTGGTGACCCCAATGCTTTGATCCTCAGCCAGGTGGGGGGCATTTTGGAAAGAGCTCTGTCTTTCACAGAGTTCCATGTTGATTTGTTGGCATTATTGTTCAAGGCCCAGAGAATCAGTAGACCCTATTATGCATGTTCTTTGTGCACTGGCATAACTGTTGCCTTCTCAGTCTCTCCTTGCTTAGACTCATAGGGCTATCCTCAATGTAAATACACTGTTCTCAATTTCCCTTACAGGTTCTCTGTATTTGTTTATACATCTCTGTGTGTTTGTTTTTGTGGGCTGCCTATGTATTATACTGCTTGGCAATATATACCAATTGGGAAAAGATGTACCCATTGCCTGTTGAATGTGTTGTATGTGTGGTATATAAGTCACATTGTTGTTTTCCATAGAAAGTCCTGCATTTGCAAAGCTGTATCCATGACATATTAAGATATTTCATAAATGACATAGTCATATTCATTTGGCTAAGTAGGTGAAATGAAGGGGAATGGTGCCAGTGCTATAGTGAGTTTTCAGATATATGAGATTTGAGTTAAAACTAGACAAAAACACATACTCATCTGAGGAAGAAGCAGTTTGGAAAGTTAGGCTATAAAGAGAGAGATAAGCATGCTTTATAACTCAAAGCCAAGGTGTTGGGTGTTAAATCCTAGACCATGACTCACTTAGATCCTTCCATATGTGTATTTGTGGGGAAGAGGTGAGTGTGCCTGGTTTGTTACTCAGAAATACAGAAATAATGTAGTGGGAGCAAGCAAAATCCCAATTTGTCATTTTGTTTCTCAAGAAGGCTCCAAATACATCACTTAATTTTGAAAACAGTGGTCACCAGTTAAGAAGAAGAGCCAAAGAATCAGGATACTACTATGCAGATCTGGTAGACAAGCTGGAATCAGCCTTCCTTGCCATTGAACTCACCCTTTCCTATAAGCCACTGGTGTTTTTTTCACTGATTTCAATAATGCTTTGGTAGCTGAACACACACACATATTTAGCACATGAATAAATGAAAAGACCCATTTGCTTATTACCTAGATAAAGACCTATGTGTTTATTGTTTATGTTGGTGATGTCATGATATTGCTGACCCCAGTGATTGATGAATCAAGGCCAAATCACTTCTAGCGAAATACTGAAAGATGCTGAAAAGCAGGTAGGTGAACTAATCTCTCCTTTTTGATTTTCACCTCCACCATTCTACCCTCAGGTATCTTCTAGCACTAAATACCATTCGTTAATGGAGGCCTAAAGTGGATGCAGCTAATGCTAGGAATGGGGTTCATTTATTTTCTGAAAACTTAATTTATTAGAATGAAAAATTCACAGGCCTTCTTTAGACAGTCAGGCTACATACTAGAGAAATTACTCTTTTAAATGAAAAGCCATTTGGCATAATATGCACTGAAAAAAAGTGTGATCCTAAGTACGCTCTTTATTTTGCCCTCTGTCCTTTCCGACTTCCTCATCCTTTCTCTGATCCGTATGACTCTGACTCCATCTCCCATTAACCCTGTAGGAGGCCTTTTGCAATTAACTTCTTGCTGCTCTATGTCACCTACTTATGCCACTGAAATGCTGGGTGTCACATGGGATAAGGTAGTATTGGCCACCATGGGCCCAGAGGAAAATCCTGGGGGACTAAGTGTTTCCAGACTGCTAGGTAGAAGGTCTGCTCAAGCAGCTGGGACACCATGAGGTGGGAGAGACTGCAGTGGATGATAGGGTAGAGAGCTGCTGTCTGAGTATGTTGCTGAGATGGTCAGCTGTGGGAGATAGTTGTGTGTTCAGTGGTCCTAAGGAAATGTTAACCTAGACTGGTGTGTCTTCATTCAAGACACAGAGTTATGTTAAGGGACCATGGGTGTTAAGGCTGCCAATAACACCTTATAATTATACTTGTATAGCCCCTCTCTTCTAAGTGAGTCAGAAGGCCCCTGTGTTTTATTTCATATGACCTCACAGACAACCTCATGGGCTTAGGAAAGGTAGACATTGAAGATCATGTAGTACATGTTGCTTTCATTTCTCGGGTCTCAGATTTTTCAAACTGTAAAATGAGGGATTGACATAAAACTTACCTCTAAGGTCTTTTCCCACAGTAACAGTTTCCATGATGGAATCATTTTTCACATGGAGGATTTGAGTCTCAGATACTTTAAAGCAAGTTGCCCAAAGCCACGCTGTAAGTCAGGGAGAGTGATAATTACAGGTTAAGCTCTGATCCTTTTCCTTAGATTGTCCTATCAGTGGTCTATTTGAACAGTGAGGTGTAAGGGAGACTGTTGCTTCTGAATGCATGAAGCCCATATTTATCTATTTTGTTTAGCACTCTCACTTGCCTGACCATCTTCCTAACCTATCCTCCTCACTTATCAGCAAGGCCCTCAACCTTTCCCTTGATATCACTCAGGATCCATATCTTGTTTGACTATAGCTGTCTTCCTGGCATATTATGTGTCTGGATACAAGGTCACTGCTACACCTAGACAAAATCTGGAGTCAATGCTTCAGTTACATCAATCAAGAGAGGCTTTAGCTCTGGGTGTGGCTGAGAGTCAGGGCGGGAAGAGCCATTCAGAAATATCATATTGTGAGGTGCCCACAAAAAGCAAGGAGGTCTGAAGGGAAAGCACTAACAAAAAGGGGCCATGGGGATAATCTAGACACAATGAATTGATAAAACCAGATGGATTCAATTGTCAATCACTATGCAGCAAAGAGCCAAGATTACTGAGATTTTTTTTTGGTGGGGAGCTGTGGAATAAAACATTTCTGACTGTGACAGGAATTTAGTTTGGGGGAAGGCAGTGGAAGAAAAAGGAAAA